CATAACCCTATGTACCCATTGGTCCCACTGGAATAGACCATTTAATAAATCACCAAACTGATTTATCTGATGATTATCTTTTTTAGATAAATTTTTATTAGGATATATTCATTATACAGGGGAGGATTCATAGTGACAAGTCCAATAGACTTATATTGTATATTATTTACATTGCCCCCATTGTCTCTCCCCCTCAACCCCCTCCTTGCTCCAATTAAAGCAATTGCAAGAGTTTTTTTAGTTTTGTTTCATATAGGTATATGAAGTCCATCTACCATATACTATCACTTTAATTTCCTTTATTCACCCTCCTCCCTCCCATTAGTAACCACACACACACACATACAGTACCTATTTTATAGTTTCATTTTTCGTTATTAATATTTAAGTTGATGTTCAAAGGGTGTCTCACTGTACACCCACTGTGGGTATACTTTATCTTGGTCCATTCAATCCCTTACATTACTCTCCCTTATCCCTTTGCCTCCCACCCCCATTTTCCAACAGCTTTCAGTACATATCCATATATCCTCTACCTTCACATCTTATGTTATGTGATATGACTGATGCTGTATCATTCTCTGTTCCTTTCCCTCTTTCCCTGAATTCCATAGAGTAGTTCCACTATTACAGACATGTTCTACATCTGAGTTTGTGTATGATCACGCTTGTTTTGTGTATATGTTTATCTTTGGATCTGTCTTCCACGTATGAGAGAAAACATGCATCTTTTGTGTTTCTGATCCTGGCTAACTTCACTTAACATGATGTCCTCCAAGTAATACTCCACTATGTATATATACTACATTTTCTTGATCCATTTATCAGTTGTAAGACACCTGGGTTGTTTCCAAAACTTGGCTATCATGAATAGTGCTGTGATGAACATCAGTGTACAGGTGTCTCTGTTGTATCCTGTCTTGTGTTCCTTTGGGTAGAAGCCCAGGAGCACGGTATCACTGGATCATGTGGCAGTTCTATGTTTAGTTTTGAGGAATCTCCATGCTCTTTCCATAGTGGATGTATTAATTTGCATTCCCACCAGCAGTGTATAAGGGTTCCTGTTTTGCCACATCCTTGCCACTAACATTTATTGTTGTTGCTATTGATTGTGACCATTCTAACTGGGGTGGGATGAAATCTAACTGTTGTTTTGATTTGCATCTCTTTTATAACCAGGGAAGTTGAACACTTCTTCATGTGTTTACTGGCCATTTGTACCTCTTCCTTTGAGAATTCCCTCTTTAACTCATGTGCCCATTTCTTCATTGGGGTTTGATTCTTTTGGTCTGAGTTTTTTGAGTTCCCTGTAGATTATGGATATTAGTCCCTTATTGGATGAGTACCTGGCAAAGATCTTCTCCCATTCTGTGGGCCGTCTCTTGAGTTTGGTGACTGTTTCCTTTGCTATGCAGAAGCTTTTTAGCTTGATGCAGTCCCATTTGTTAATTATTTCTCTTAGATGCTGAGCCTTTTGAGTTCAGTTTAGGAAGTCATTCCCAATACCTATCTGTTCCAATGTATTTCCTACTGCTTCCTGGAATGTTTCAGTTTCAGGCCTTATATTAAGGTCTTTTATCCTCTTTGAGTTGATTTTGGTACAGGGTGAAAGACAGGGATCTACTTTCAGTCTTCTACATGTGGTTATCCAGTTTTCCAAACAGCATTTGTTGAAGACACTGTCTTTTCTCCATCATGAGTTTTACCTTTGTTAAAGATCAGTTGGCTATAGATGCATGCGTTTATGGCTGGATCTTCTATTCTAATCCATTGGTCTTCCTGTCTGTTTTTGTGCCAATACCTTACTGTTTTTTATTGTTATGGCTCTGTAGTATAGTTTGAAATCGGGTACTCTAATGCCTTCAGCATTGGACTTTTGGCTCAGAATTGCTTTGACAATTCGAGGTCTTTTGTGTTTCCATATGTATTTCAAGATTGGTTTTTCTATTTCTGTGCAGAATGTCATTGGAATTTTGATACGGATTGTGTTGAACATGTAGATTGCTTTTGGTAATATGGCCATTTTCACAATGTTAATTCTACCAATCCATGAGCATGGAAAGTCTTTCCATCTTCTGAGTATTCTTTGATTTCTCTCTTCGGTGGTTTATGGTTTTCATTAAAAAGGTCTTTGGATTCTTTTGTTAAATTTATTCCAAGGTACTTTATTGTTTTTGAGGCTATTGTAAATGGGATTATTGCCCCCTGATTTCTTTCTCAGACTTTTTGTTATTGGTATATAGGAAGGCTACTGATTTCTGTATGTTTATTTTGTATCCTGCTACTTTTCTGAAAGAGTTTACAAATAGTTTTTTGGTAGAATTTTTAGGGTCTCTTAGATATAGGATCATGTCATCTGCAAATAGGGATAGTTTGCCTTCTTCCTTCCCTATTTGAATCCCATTTATTTCTTGCTCTAACTTATTGCTCTGGGTAGGAGTTCCAAAGCTATATCGAATAGGAGTGGAGAAAAAGGACAGCCTGTCTCATTCCTGACTTTAAGGGGAACAGTTTCAATTGTTCTCCATTTAGTATGATGTTGGCTCTAGGTTTGTCATATATAGCCTATGCTGAGGAACATTCCTTCTATTCCTAGTTTCTTCAGAGCTTTTATCATGAAAGAGTGTTGGATTTTGCCAAAGGCTTTTTCTGCGTCTATTGAGAGGATCATGTGGTTTTTGTCCTTGCTTCTGTTTATATGCTGTATTATGTTTATGGATTTGCATATGTTGAACCAACTTGGTTTATGATCTTTTTAATATGTTGTTGAATTCTGTTTGCCACTATTTTGTTGAGAATCTTTGCATCTATATAAATTAAAAATATTGGTCTATAAGACTCTTTTCTGGTTGTGTCTTTATTGGGTTTTGGAATGAGTGTAATGCTGGCATTATAGACTAAGTTCGGTAGTGTTCTTTCTATTTCCTGGAAAAGTTTCAGAAGTGTTGGTGTTAGTTCTTCTTTAAAGGTTTGGTAAGATTTGGCCATGAATCCATCAGGTCCTGGGCTCTTCTTTGTAGGGAGGCTCTTTATTACTGCTTCAATTTCATTGCATGTAATAGGACTATTTAAGTGTTTAATATCTTCTTGGTTCAATTTTGGTTGGTTATATGCATCTAGGAAT